GGGAAGCAAACTAACGCTCACTCGTATTGTAAGCAGCAAGATGGGGAAACCTCTCGAGGCTCATCTGGACATCAGTACACAGCAGTAAGCATGAATTGGTTGCCAAACTCGAAGACAATTGTTCCGCCAGATTTTGAGCCCAGACCATGTACATGTCCAGGTATGAATTCATCTCTTTTGTACAAAACCCCTGTTAATTTGCTGTTATTTATGTTATTTCGGTGTCTCGCTTAGCTTTGTTGTCCTTGCTGTGCCCCAAGCCCCCCGTTCGGATCCTCATTTGTTAATGAGAAATCGAATCGAGTGGTGTTAAGATCCGGCCCATGGGCACTGCAACTCCGTGTAACACGTCCAAAGTTGTTTCAAAGCACACAACACTTCCTCCATCAATTGGTCAAAATGGAGGTAGGATATGTGATTTGTATACTAGGAGAGATGAAGGCGATTAATTTGACTAAAGGCGACGGCAATTTGCAGCAACCGATGCGGGAGAGGCTGAAGGGGCCTAACCCTAAAAGTTCCTAAACAGCTTGCCTTTTGAACCACTAGAAAAGTTTTGAGCCTCCCTCATCAGTCCATATGCCAAGGAACGACATAAACAATTTTGTTGGGGGGGAGGGGGGCAGCCCTGATAAATAAGTGTAAAACAGCAATATTTTACAAAAAAAGTATTTTACTTATGCTACTTAAGTTTTTTTTAGGGGGGGGGCACGTCCCCCGATATCTCGGTCCTTGCCATATGCTTCGTGGTCCCTGGCTATCTCACCATATTCTGACTAGCTGCAGCCAAATAATTTTTTTTAAACAAGTACATTGTAAAGAGAGGTGCCGTGGTGGGGATGCATAGTTCTCTTTTGTTGGAATGTGAAAGTATGTCATTTTGCTCAAGAGGGTTAGTTTCGCAGACCCCAATAGCTGCAAATACAAGACTGGAAACTTTGCTGCGCGCCCGCAATATATTGCCCGCGCACACCTCTGCGCGCTTTTGCATACTGGCCGCGCAAAATCCCCTAGATCCCTTGACAATAGGATTTAACATTATTAACAATAAAAATAACTAAGAGTGCATGATTTCAGGCGCGCAGTCTCAAATTTTCAAAATAAACTTGCCCGCGCAAGAAGCAAAGTTTCCAGTCTGGTGCAAATAGGGTTAGCAAACCTTTATCTTCCCAAAAAGTTTAAAAATTTATACATGTTGAAACAATAGAAGACAAGAAATCATTATTTTAACATATTTTTAAAGGGGGTATCATCCCATGCCCCCAATACCAATAGGCCTGCCCCTCTAATCACGCATGCCAACATTCTGGTATGAGATTGAGGGAGCATTATCAAAGTATGATTTATATACCATACAAGTTGGATGTGGTTGAGAGGAAACTTGTGACACCATGGTTTTAGCTGGATAAGAAATCAAGAGAATTACCAGTAAGTAAGAAAGAAACATAATTTGAAAGGTTTAATCCTCTGCAAATTACAACAGTAACATAATTAAGGTTCTGAGGAACTGTAAATAATTGAAATACTATTAGATTTGGCATAAACTCATTGAAAAAGTATTAGAGTATAGAAAATATGTATGTTTTAAATATACTAGAAATAGCTCTTGCTAGTACTGCCCGCAAACAATTAGTTCCTTGATAATGATTGTTTTGAAAATTTAGGTCAGGATATTCGAAGAAGACACCATCTTGGGTTTTCACAATTTTATAAAAACAGCTGCTCTAGTTGATGCTAAAGTATTCTTTTTATCAAGAATTTTTGGTGTTCAGTGTGCCTTTGATTTAAGTCCAACGCCCTTTTGAAAATCATGAAGTTTTTCGAGGGTTTGACATTTATTTTTCGTTTTCGTGAAGTAAACAAAGACGTCTGAAAATGAAAAAAGAGGTCCTACGGTCTCGAGTTTTTGGGAGAAAGGTGTGGCATTCGACTGGTTTTGATTCCCAAAACTTCAAATCAAAACTTCCATCCATTGCGGAGAACCGAGCTGTGATGCAGCACCCTTTTCGTGCCAAAAAACTGAAGGCCTTTAACAGAGTCTTGGCAGAGCAACGCTCCGAAGATAATTCCCTTCCGCACAAAGAGGTGGCGGTTAATGACCTCCTCGACAAAGCCGATTGATTGACAATGAAATTGATTGACAGTTGTCATGGCAGCAAAAAAATGACAAAATCTGCTGACAAAGTGCTGACAACATGAACTGAAGCTTCCATATGCTACTTATACGCGGGGCAGACTATAAGCCCTTCACTCGCGCGCTGTCGCGCGCGAGTTGCGGGCAATCATATCAGGGGTGGCTGGGAGAGATTTTAAACTGCTATTAGAGAAAATTGTGGTATCAGGGCATGGCTGCCGTTGATTTTTACTTCCAACCACACCCTCTTTAATGGTTGTTTTCAATATTTCACTGCTTTTTTCTATGCTCTACCTCATCATTACATCTTGATTTTCTTGGCCTCAAGTCGAAAACACCTTGCCATTTTCTATTGTAACACTCTCTTTCTTGTAGTAATAAAGAGAAAAGCAAAAAAATGGGGGGGGGGGCTATGGCCACAGCGGTTATTTGATCTCTAGAGCAACATGGCCCATTGTCAGACTTATCAGACTTATAATTTTAAATTTGATACTAATCCCATAAAGATTGTAAAGTCGCAGCACGTTTCTTAGTTCTAAATAAAATTCAGAGACATTCTTTCAAATTTCTACTAAAACAACCTTCATTGGAATACATCTACAGTTCCAAAGACATGTCTACACATTCAGTCTTTCAATTACAACTGTAGGCTTTGGCTTCGACGGCCTGTGGCATGCAAATGAATATCATCAGCCTACAATGAAAAGGATCTCTGTCCGTAGCCGTAGCCTCTTTTTTGTTGCTATTAACGACCCTCTTTTAATAGCAAAATCATATCGGCAAGTATCGTGCATTGAAATACTCCTTAATAAGAACAAATATTTCTGATAAATGCTCATTGTTAACATAAAAAACCAAAGCACCATATTTTTCAATTCAATTTAAGTGCAGATATCTTTAATATATTTAAACAAAGTCGCTGTTGCTGTGTTTATTATGGTTGTGAAGAGAGGATTGTTTGTCAGTATGTCGTTAAAACCCCCAACGTAAACTAGCAACGTCCATATGATTTATTTTAAACGCAATATGCCACATGAATGGAAGAGTGAACGGAGGAATCTTGCTATTAGAAGTGACCCGGCTAATAGCAAGTCCGCATATATTGGGTCTTTCACAACAGCATGATTGGCCACTTTACATCACACAAGGACTCACAAACCAAGGTGGATATGAAAGTTGCTATTAGGATTCACAAACCTAATAGCAAAATTTCAGGGCTGTGGTTGTAGTGTTTGTTTGAGGCCGCCCGATGAATGCGTAACAATAAGTGTCACAACAAGCGTAGGAGGGAGGTCTTTTTTGAAAGGATCAAATCAGTTTCAAGAGTAGGGGCTTCTGCTCGCTTTACCATGGCCATATCACGCCATATCATTGCAAAATGGCAGGAAAACAGTTAGCTGTCCAAATAAACTGTTTTTGCCAAAGATTTCCAGTGCTAGTTTCATTTTAAAGATATATGACCAATAGATTATGAGAGTCTTTGCTGGAAAAAATTGCTATTAGACTAATAACGCTAATACCGCTCCCAGCCGCCCCGGTATCATATATATTTATACTGCTTATTTAATCTGGCCTATACAGAAGCCGATAATGCAGATTGTGCATAGCACATGGCTTTCATCTTTTTTGAAGCTTTCAAGAATGGATAATTTGTGTACCATTTTTTTTTACTTTCAAATTTCACAATATAATTGTTCAGTTCCTTTTTGGTTCACTATCATCTCACGCAGTCTGCCATTTTTAGAAGAACTGCAACAAACAGCACCCAACGCACATGCCTCATTGACAGCACCTGCGTAATGTTTTGATTGGTTAAATGTTAATCAAAACACATTTAAACAAAAATATGTTGTTTTCAACTGTGGACCATTCATTTTTATACCATTCAGAATTCATCAGCAAAATCTAATTATCCTTTAGATTTATTACAAGAATGCATTTCAGTGAAAAATATATCTCTAACAAGAAATTCAGAAACTCTAAAAACCCTGAGATTTTATCTCTGATATGATGGTAGCATGCGGGAGGTCATTATTGAGTGAAAATATTGCAATATGTGGGAGTGTTGGCATGTATGCTGTATTGTAACTAAAGACCTAGTGTTCTTGTTCATGTGCTGACCTAGAGAATACCTTATCTTTCCCTATTTTGGCATTTTCCTTTCAAAATCATTTGCCCCACAACTTAGCTGCCTTCATAACAATACAAATTAAAATGAAGCTAAATCCATGAAGTATTTGTATAATTTTTTTTGTATTTGTTGCTACCTAGCATCCAAAGGTATTTTTTAGGACACTGAGAAGCTATGCTTATCGAGCAGTGTCCTGGTCCTTCCTCTCGATGTGACCACACCTCGAGATTCCTACGCCTGGAATTACAGAGAGCTGGCGACTCTCCCCACTCTGGGTGAAAGTTTGGTCGTGCCAGGGACTCGAACCACAGACCCTTGGGTCTGTAGTCAGCGCCTCTAACAACTGAGCCATCCTCGCAAGTCTAGATATTTCTACAAATGCCTATCAATCACTTGAATACATTGCACACCAAGTGGCATAGGTTAGCAGGTGCGGATCTAGCCAAACTTTGACTGGTTTCCAGGTGCTTTACCTGGCTACAATCCTGTTTGTTATTGGTTCATAAATATAGCTAAAAGTTTCTAATGAGGCTAGTAGAATGTGATTAATTTGTCCAAACTTCATCTAAAATGTCAAAATTTTTCTCCATTCAGCATGGCCTTTGGTCCTCTTCCTACAACTTTGATTTTAATTTTCTGCAATATTTTCTACAAGAAAGTCTAGTCCCTCAATACAAGATCTCAGATTCTTATTTGCATCCATATTCCATTTGTATAATTTTGTATCAAAGCCTCCACACCTTAGAGCTATGGATATGGAATATGCTTTTAATCCACCGGTTTTTTTCGCATAATGGAAACATATGGAGACCGGTTTTCACAGGTTTTGAGAAAACAATAGCAACCGCTTTCAATAGCAATTTTGTCGCAGAGATAGCATACTCCAAACTGTCACTTTGAGTGATTTCCTCGATTTTGAATTCCTCCGACACTTTGGGATAAAAGATGAATGAGGAAGCTGGGAACTCTGTCGCAATCTTTGCTACAAGGAAGTGCTGTACTTACGAAATTAAGAACTTATGTGGGGGTTCAATTCAAAATGTAAACAGAAGAACTGTTGTCAGTCAGAGAGAAATGCAGCAATTGTTGCAATTGAAATTTTAGATAAAAATTCTTATTGTACAGTTTCTTAGAGATTAC